CAACATGTTGTGGTGGAATTATTTAACTACCACCCCCCCCCCTTTTTTTCCCCCATGACTGGGGGGACTGCAGCCATTTTGAGTTTGCTTGCCAAGGGTTGCCCACGCCCTGACCAAGGAATTGGTTTTTCTTTTAAAGCTGCACTACAGGTTCATGGTTAATAAATTAGCAGGTTACGAAATGATCAATGTCAAAATCTAATCTTTCATTGTTCAAAGTTATTGATATAACATATGGCTACACGGGACGAACACTCCAACACATTACAAACAAAAAATATTTTTTAATTGTAATCGATCAACTATCAAATATTTTTTCACCTTTATCACTAAAAAAGAAAAAACATTTATAAAAAAAGCCTACTTAAAATTGAGAGATAAGTTAGAGATTTCATTGCATAATTTAGACACTATTTAGTAAGTAGGGAAGGGATCGTGGACATTATTGTGACGCTCTGACCAGGGAGTAACACATTGTCACTCCATAAATAGGAAATCCTTTCAACATACTTCGTGACATCCACTAAAGTCATCAAATCAATGGACACAGAGGTCATTATTTCCGAAAAAAACTGAACCAGATTTGTGTACCCAGGACAAGTAGTAGGCCCAGCCACAGAGAGAATGGACCAAATCTTACCCAACTATCGAGAGCGCCTACGAGTAAGCAGTTCAGTGCAGGGGGGAGGGGGGAAGAAAGGTTCCAATGATTTCATTGATGACTGATCACGAGACTTGGTCCACAAAGAGACTGATTGTTCACAATGCTTTGTCCCCGGGGCGACTGACTGTTCACATGACTTTGTCCCCCGGGCGACTGACTGTTCACGAAACTTGGTCCCTAGGCAGACTGACTGTTCACATGACTTTGTCCCTAAGACGACTGACAGTTCACATGACTTTGTCCCCGGGGCGACTGACTGTTCACGTGACTTGGTCACTGCGGCACTGACTGTTCACATGATTTGGTCCCCGGGACCACTGGCTGGTCACACTGACTGTTCACGTGACTTGGTCCCCGGGACCACTGACTGTTCTCGTGACTTGGTCCCCGGGACCACTGACTGTTTACACTGTTCACGTGACTCGGTCCCCGGGACCACTGATTGTTCACGTGACGTGGTCCCCGGGCGACTGACTGTTCACGTGACTTGATCCCAGGGACCACTGACTGTTCACGTGACTTGGTCCCCGGGACCACTGACTGTTCACATGACTTGGTCCCCGGAGCGACTGACTGTTTACATGACTTTGTCCCTGGGGAGACTTACTGTTCACATGACTTGGTCCCCGGTGCGACCTCTGTGAAAACATTACAGAGATTTTTTTAACCAGGTGAGCAAGAGTTGTCTCCTACACCACCAGCGCCCCCCCCCCACCCCCTGTTCACGTGACTTGGTCCCCGGGACCACTGACTGTTTACACTGTTCACGTGACTCGGTCCCCGGGACCACTGATTGTTCACGTGACGTGGTCCCCGGGCGACTGACTGTTCACGTGACTTGGTCCCCGGGACCACTGACTGTTCACATGACTTGGTCCCCGGAGCGACTGACTGTTTACATGACTTTGTGTCCCTGGGGAGACTTACTGTTCACATGACTTGGTCCCTGGGACCGCTGACTGTTCACATGACTTGGTCCCCGGGACCACTTACTGTTCACATGACTTGGTCCCGGGGAGACTTTTTGTTCACATGACTTGGTCCCTGGGGAGACTTGCTGTTCACATGACTTGGTCCCTGGAGAGACTTACTGTTCACATGACTTGGTCCCTGGGGAGACTTACTGTTCACATGACTTGGTCCCTGGTGCGACCTCTGTGAAAACATTACAGAGATTTTTTTAACCAGGTGAGCAAGAGTTGTCTCCTACACCACCAGCTCCCCCCCCCCCCATCTCCGCCTTGCAAACCTCCTCTCCGTTCACACCTCCACCCTGACAGCCCTCCACGTCTTTTGACACATGGTATTGAGGCCAAGTTTCATGGCCACACGCAGGGAAGTGACGTGTGACATAAACCTGGCAACGTCTCACACCATACCCCGGATGACGTCAGTTGTAGGACGTTGTGTTGTTGACGTTCCTGGCTTAGTTGAGCGCGCGCGCTTTTCATGGCCACACGCAGGGAAGTGACGTGTGACATAAACCTGGCAACGTCTCACACCATACCCCGGATGACGTCAGTTGTAGGACGTTGTGTTGTTGACGTTCCTGGCTTAGTTGAGCGCGCGCGCTTGTGTTTATGTGTATGTGCATGTGTGTGTATGTGTGTTTGTTTGTGCCTGTGTGTGTTTGTGTTCAGATGTGTCTGTTTGTATGTATAATATGTGTTTGAGTGTATGGGTGTATGTTTGTTTGTGCCGTGTGTGTTTTAGTTTATGAGAGTATTTGTGTTAGTGTTTATTTGTGTTTGTGTGTGTGTTTGTATGCATGCGTTTTTTTTTTGTTTTTGGGCCCATGTGCGTTTGAGTTAATGTGTTTTGTGTGTTTTTGTATGTGTTTTTTTGTGTATGTGTTTTTGTGTGTTTGAGTTTATGTCTGTCGAGTGCATGTGTATTTGTGTGTGCATGTGAGGGTTTGTTTGTGTGTATGTGTTTTTGTGTGTTTGTGTGAATGTGTTTTTTGTGTGTTTGGGTTTATGTGCGTTTGAATGATTGTGTGTTTGTGTGTACATGCGAAGTTGTGTTTGTTTGTATGTGTGTTTGTGTCTTTGTGTGTTTGTGTTTCTATGTTTACGTGTATGTGTTTATGTGTTTTTGTGCATTTGTGTATATGGCAATAACTGTTATTGGTCCTTATTGATTCCATCGCTACAAGATAGCACCACCATCAGATTCCATCGCTACAAGATAGCACCACCAACAGATTCCATCGCTACAAGATAGCACCACCATCAAAATTCCTCCCCACCAACTACGCGCCATTTAAAAAACTATAATAAATATATATATATTTTTTTATCTTTCATACCCTACAGCTTCATAAATTCAGAATCATTTCCTTTAACGCGTTGTTCCCATAGTGGTGAGAACCGCTGGCATATAGATCTAATGTAATCGACTACGTCGTGCAGGCTGCCAACCCACGGCTGAATACCTGGTTATAAATGGGACGTTAAACAAAGGGCTCACCTTAAATGCAACGTCCTCTTACCAACACGTGGGCCGGACGCCCAGTCATGTTTTCATTGATATTATGCAGCAATCGTCACATTACCACACAGCCGTGGACTCACTTATACATTCGTAAAAATCGTTCCTCATAATTTTCACAAGGCGTAGTTAAGGCATTTTTTGAACCCAGTCTCGACAAGATTAGATACAATTACTTTGTAATTTGCGAGAGGATCCGCAGAACGGAATTCAATATAATGGACGTCTTCAGCGTTTGACATCTTCGGAAGCGATCATATCTTCGAGGATAACTCCAAGGTCTGCTTCCACCGTCATGGCACTTAAGATGACCAAAACCAAGTTCAGGGCCACGCTATATTTTGCGCTTCTGGCCATCATCGTTTATTTCGCCTTGGTGAAGTCGCGCGCCGGAAGATTAGTGTACCTCCAAGCCTTGGGATCAAGGGTACCTCATGGACACAACGCCTCACCGACCTGGGCCAACTCAAAGGGTGCGTCCGAAAGACTCTGGCACATACCGTTGATGGAGGATTTAGGGTTAGTTAAACCGGGGAAGAGGTGTTTGGCTTTTTCAAACGTGCAGATAATCCGTGAAGATAATCCGTGCAGATAATCCTTGGTGTTAAGTGGTTTATACATGAAGCTTAGGCCATCCGCCCGATGCAACGATGGTTTAGCCTCTGTATTATTTGGGTGGATTATCAGGTCGATCGTCAAGTGACAGTCTTGGCTGCATTGCTTGTAGAGAGGAGAGCCTTAATTGATAAATTAATAGAAAAAAAACAAAACAACAACTAATATGCTATACTATCAAATGTGCTTACTAACATTCAACAATATTTGTCATATCTACCGCTTCCTCCCTGGAACATGTACGTCCAATGTTTAACTGTGTAGATAATGTTTTAACGTGAAATTAACTGTAAAGGAATTTTAATGGCAAAAAAATTTACGACCAAAAATTGACAATTAATGCCCTAGAATAAAAAAAATGTTCAACTGAATTTTCACAAAAAACAAAAAAACAAAAAAAAATTGAATATATAGTCTAGAGAGAAGCGGAACATTTAAAAAAAACAAAAAGACTCAGGGCAAATATTTGTCGTGCGTTCCAACGGCCCTGCTGACAGACACGCCGTGTGAGAACCTTATGAAAACAATGGGCGGTTCTAAGTTTAACTCTCTCATTGTTTACATTGTTCTTTTCTTTATTCAACTAGGCCGCCATCGGACGAAGAGGTCCCCCAAAATGGCGCGGGAGGATTTCAACCAATCAACGATTACGAGGCTTGGGTCTACTCCGCCTTCATTGACGTCATAAACGACACTAACGGTATTCGAATTTTCGGATTCCAGAGAGTGGACTTGAAGACCCATGTGTACTGTCACGTGATGTTCGAGCGTAATAAGGTGACTGTGATTAATGGGACTAAAGAGTTTCTGCCAGATGGACACAATCTTTCGTAAGAGGACAATGTCGCTTTTTGAAATCAATTTGACATAAGTACTATGTACGATATTTAAAATTAACAACCATTCCTAGAATTTAATCTAACAACCGTTCACATTTTCACCGTACAGAAAATAATAGTCTTACTAAAAATCTCCCCTCCCCCCCCCACCCCCAAAAAATCAATAGATTTAATAATTTGATTTACTGAAAATGGTGAGAATTTGTAATAGTTTGTTACTATTTTTGAATAGTTAACCATGTTTTTACATTTTTTTAACTGTAATAAATAATATTCATAGTCAGCTCTCGAAATAAATAGAGTGATTTGATTTCATTTGTTTAGAAATCATATTTAATTTTATATATTTCCAATACAGATTTTGCGCAACGAGTTACGTATGCACGTTAGATATGCGGACCGGAAGTCGCCCTAATAACGTGGCCCTGACCTTCAACGCGCTAGACACGCCAACCAATCAGCTTCGAGTTTTGTATCCCAGAGAGAGGCTGAGAAACTTCACCGTGTGCCACGCGGCGCTGTTCCAGTACAGTAACGCCGGCCAGCTGGTGCAGTCCATTGAGGTGAACCGAGTGCTCGGGGCCGATCACTTCTACGTGTACAACCTCAGCGTCTCCAACGCGACGGACGCCGTGCTGCACCGCTACGAGAAACTCGGCCTCCTCACCGTCATGCAGTGGCAGCTGCCCCAGGATAATGTCTGGTACCGCGGTCAGAACCTGGCCATCAACGACTGCGTCTACAGGAACAGGCTGGTGTCGCGGTACGTCGTCATCCAGGACACGGACGAGTTCATCGTGCCCGGCCTCCACAACAATTGGGGGGAACTCATCGAACACGTCGTGAAGAACACGAGCTCAGCCGCCGGGCTCTCTTCACCGACGATAGGCTCCTTCTCGGTGGAGACCACCTTTCACTGCGGTAAGCCCAACCAAACGCAGTGGGACGACATCAAGAAGGATTTCCCCATGACACCGGACGAAGAGCAGTTTTACAGAAATCACTCTCTTTTCGCGTTCTTGAACCACTTGCGCATCAAGGCGGTCATGCATTACAACAAATACTGCAAGACGATCGTCCGACCAGAGCTCATCCTCTTCGCTGGCATCCACTACACTCACGCGCACCGCGACTCGTCCACGCACACAGTGGTCAGGAGAGACCTAGCCATCGTCCACCACTACAAAGACAGGTTCAGGCCTGAGATGATGGACGCTACAATTCTAAAATTCAAAAACGTGATGTATCCAAGACTAAAAGCTGCGTTTCTGGAATTTCCATTTCTTTAAATTAAACATTTGAATGTAATTATGTTTTTTTTTTAAGGCTGCAACTATTCGTAACCGGGTACCATAAGTGAGAGGTTGGGATTAAAAAAAAACTATTTAAATTTTATTGTTGGGTTTGTAAGACAAAATTGGGTATCAAATGAAAGATTAATAGAATGGGCTATATGTTTGTAAACTTAATTCTTCAGTTTAACTAATATAAACTACCATAAATGACATCCGAATAGCTTGAGTCTAATGGTACCCGGGTGTGAATGGCGGTGCTGCATGTCTGGGTCCATTTTGACTCAGTGCTATTCGGATGCCATTTGTGGTGGTTTATTTGAGCAAAAAAAAAGGGGGGGGGCATTTCAGGTATACGTGTGGGGAGGGGGGTGTATAGTTATAAACACAAAAGTAAACATAATGGCATAATTATAGCTTGCGAATTGGTATGACTTATTTTTATTATTATTTCTTTATTAAAAACAGGAGAAAAAAAACAGTGAAGAAATTAATATAGCCTCTAATTTAGACATATTTAAAATGTATTTTTACTTTTGGGGCAACAAGTTTTTCACCCTCCAAGTTTAGCTTCGTTAGCATCTCGAGACTCTCACAATGGTTTGAGGAACACACTTTTTACCGGAAATTGTTATCTCTAAATTCTTACAATGGTTTAAAGGAAAAAAAACAAAAAACTTTTTAATAGAATTTATCTCCAGAATTAAGAAGTCAGCTCGCAAAAGTCAATTAAAGATGAGTTTGAACACAGGAATGAAGCATCACCGTTTTCTAATCATATATATCACCAAGTCTTGAGTAAAAGAAACAAGTTACATTAACTTTAACAGTGTTCCCAGAGACATCCCAGAATGATTCCCCACCCCCCACAAAAAAAGCGTTATGTTTCAAAGGTCGCACTGTGAGCAGATGTGTCATAAGTACGTTGTTGCTTTGAAGTGATGACTTGGGAAATACAGGTCAGATTAAGGTCCGGTGTAAAACTATCATCACGTGTGTTTCGGTGCAGGCGATACAGCGTGAGTGAGTTTTAATAAGAGATCGATGATCTAGTAATCTGGACCTCTGGTAAGGACATCAACCATCTGCAGAACCGGCTGCAAAATGATCTGCATAGCATCGAAGACTATGCGAGACGGTGGAAAATGGTTGTGAACACCGAGAAGACGGTTTACTCTAAGTTCACAAATGGAAGGAAGGCGCTTAAGGTAGATGTAAAACTCTCCATAAATGGGAAAGATTTGGTATGGGACAAGACACCAGTTTACATGGGGGTAAAGTTGGACCAGAAACTCCGACTTCACAACCATGTACACGAACTGTGCGCCAAAGCTTCACAAAAACTGGGCTTGGTGAAAAAGTTGGCTTGCACTAGTTGGGGCGCAGACGCAAGACTGTTGAGGTCGCTCTACCTCAGCAGTGTGAGGGGAACTATGTACTACAGTTTGCCCGTCCAGACCTTCGCGAGCCGCACGGCTCTAGAGGAACTGGACCGCATCCAAAACCAAGCTCTAAGGTTTGTATACGGGGCAATACGAACCACACCCACGGCGGCGGTGGAGGTCATGGCCAATATCGAACCGCTCGAGGTCAGGCGTGAGAAGGCAGTCCTTACGACGGTAGAACGCTACCGGCGCATGGGAAGGGAAGAACCCTGTTTCCAATTACAGGACAAATGGGTAAAAAGTCCAGATTGAAGAGACCATCCTTCATGGACACGGTGCACAGTCTTGAAGAAGACTTTATTTTACCCGGAAACAGGGAAAAAGTGAAAGTGATCCCCGCGCGGGGACCTCACAAAAGCCTCTCCCGGCCAGACATTCGACTGAACATGATTGACACCAAAGCCAGAAAAAACAGTCCTCAACTAGAACCATCAGAGGCTGTACGACGCACGATTGAAGCCTATCCGAACAGCCTGGTTAAAGTCTTCACAGACGGCTCGTGGTTCGCGAGGGAAAAGCGTAGTGGCTATGGTGTCCTCATCCAGTATCCCGCAGAGATAGCCCCACCCGAGGAGCTATCAGGCCCAAGCGGAAGTAATGCAACGAGCCTCGATGCGGAAATCGAGGCGATACTGGTAGCTCTCAAGAGGGTTCACCAACGGCTAGCGAAAAGAAAGTCCTTCCCGGACGTTGTGGTCTTCACCGACTCTCGTTCTGCTCTCGAACACATGGGGGAGGGGAGATCGGTGGGATCCACAATGGTTACAGCTATTTTGGAAACAGTAGGCTCCATCCATGCACATGGCTCTAAGGTAGTCTTACAGTTTATCGCTTCGCACTGGGAGGCGTCGCTTCCTGACAGGGTGGACTTCTTAGCCCAAGAAGGCGCGGCCCTACCTCAACCAAACAAACCCATGACTCAGCTGGGAGTCATCGCCTGGGTGAAAGACCATTTGAAGGAGAAATAGCACAGAAGGTAGGACACGGCGACCACTGGATGACAGCTTTACCAGAAAATGCAGCGGCCGAGCAAAAGCGACCCATGGTGGGAACTTAGTCGTGGAGAACAAAGCCTTATCACACAGATGAGATCTGGGCACTGCGCAACAGAAGGGAACCTTTGTGCCGGCAGTGTGGACTAGAGGAGGAGACAGTAGCCCACTTGGTGGTCACGTGTCCGAATAGTGGGATGGGGGCCGACGGTAGGAATCCGGAAGCTTGCCTAAATGATCTCCTTTACGGTAGCGCCCAGCAGATGAGGCGCGCCGTAAAAATCGTGTCCGGGGTCCTAAGAGATTGAATCTCGACCCTTTTGAGTATTGAACTTTATTAGTTGTAAAAAAAGGGGTAAGTTGAAGAGAGACAGGTGAATGGATGTCAACGATAAGTCTGACGGTGCTCTACAATAATGTACGTAACACAGAATGCAACGATGTCTTAGTTCTTGATGTATCAACCAACCGGCCCAATCCAAAACGCCTCTTCCATCACCGATTGAAATCAAAGTAGACTATTGGAATGCTAAGAAAAATTAGTGATAGCTATTGTTTCTTTCAGGCAGCACTCGAGGGGGGGGGGGGCACTGTCTCTGTTGGAGGAAGTCAAGTGCTCTAACTCCCCCCCCCCGAGAAAAAATGAGTAGAAAGCAATAACGCAAAACTACAGGCCGATCGTTGGAGTACTCAATGGCACACAATAGCAGAGCCTTTGACCAGTTAATATAAATGAAATACTGCAACGAATTATCGCGGAGGTCGATAATTTTGATGATCCGAATATCTAAGACATGTAACAACTATATGTGGACTAAAAAAAAAACAGCTTATGGTAGTGTCGACAGGAAATACTTGTAGGATGCTCTACATCAGAGGTGTCAAACTCAATCCCTCGGCGGGCCAAAACTGAAATAACACGTAAGGTTGCGGGCCGTACAAGATAAACATTCCATAAATGCATAATTAAACCTTTTTTTAAACATTCATATAAATTAAAACAGTTAAACGTTTTAATAATAAAAATATCATTGGCTGACCGATTTATGCTCTTATGCCAATTTATCAGAGCTGGGTGTTGGTCATCGGATGTTTGTCATCTTTTCTTTGATACAACTTCGTTTATGCTGGGAGTAATGTTCTGTGTCATTGAGATTCTCACGATGGACTTCAGGTGTTCATCAGTGAGACGACTCCTGTGTGTTGTTTTGTTAATCTTCATCACAGAGGTCACTGCTCACACATATATATGCTACCCGACAGCCTCAAGGTTCGAGCCAGTATTTACAGGCGCATTTTCGACGTCTATGACAAATGGGTTACGAGACAGCTCGAAATTACTTTACTGCGCTTCAAAGTCACTCAAGCGCCGCGCGAACTCGGCGCAAAGAAAACCAAATTTTTCAGCAAAGTGTGCATTTGGAAACACCATAGCGTTGACTTTGTTCAACATTGCGTGGCAACAATAAGAGTGATACAAGCCGCATTGATGCATTTGTGTCTCCCATAAGCGCAGCTTAACTTGAAATGCCTTCACTGCATCATGCATGTCAGTGGTCAAGTGGTCCAGTCCCTGGAGCTGCAGGCTCAAGTCGTAGAGGCGGGTGATTATGTCAGACAGAAACGCCAACTCACGTCTCCACTTATCTTTTTATCCAGAAAAACTGTGGAGTCTTTTCCTTTGCTGATCATGAATTGACAGATTTCCTCGATCAGGTGGAAAAAAAAATACTAAGAACTTTTCCTTAACTTAGCCACCGCACCTCTGTATGATAAGGCATGACGCCAAACTCTGAGTCTATTTCCTGCACACACAAAAAAGACTGAAATTGGTGGTGATTCAAACATTTGATTCTGATCAAATTGACGGTTTGTGCTGTGGCGTAGCTACGGCTTGAAGACCGCACCGAGTGACACCATCCCGGGGGTGAGAAGGGAGAATGGAACGAAATTGAAAAATTGCATTTTCACAGACCACACAATGCTCAGTGTAACAAAAATTCATAAAAGGATAACCGACCACGAGCCAATGTCCACACATGTAACCAATCCAAATGCGTGTTGTTGTTTTTTTAAGTTCAAGGTTGGTGCGTCGGAAATCATGTGACCCTATACTAAGGTCAGAGCTACACCGTGAGACACCTAAAATTCCCAGCACCTTTTCTGTGTCTCCAATGACGCAAAACTCGTACCCAAAACTCAAGTCAAGTGTTCGCCAAAATGAAATAAAGTACAATAAGGTGTATGTTGAAGCTCGAAACAAGAGACAGGGCAATAAGATGTGAACGTTTCGGCTTAGAGCCTTCTCTAGCGAACAGGACAAATGAAAATATAACAATGAACAGAGCACAGTAAAAAAAAACAAAAAAAAACTTTATCGATCTCCTTTGTTGTTACCGGAAGTAGGAATACAGGAAGTGAAATAATATACATACTAGTACTGTGAAAAATAAGGTCCAGAATCTCAACGGACCAAACTATTTAAGGACATATAAAATCTAAGGAATAAGAAAAAAGAAGAACTACAGAGAAAATGAGAAACATTAGAAGGAGTATTTAA